ACAACAACAACAACAACAAAAAACCAACCAAACAACAACAAAAAAAAAACCTGGACTATAACCTTTGGCCCTAATGGGTTCAAGAGCCACCTCATTCCCCTTCCTTCATCAGCCCCGTTAAACTTATGTATGTCCGCCCTTTCCTCCTGGGGTCCACCCTGTTTCCTGAGTCCCCTCAGCGACCACTTTCCCACTCTTTCTCTAACGAGGCATCTGCTTCTTGAACATGTAGACAACCCAACCACAACCCTCCTCTCTACTGCCTGCCTGTCACCCTTGTCCCAGGGCCTGGGTGTATCTCAGGAACCTTCATCCTTCTCTTTTATCCCCCAAATGGACAGGACCATTCCAAGTTCTCCTGACTACTAGTGTGTTGGGAGACCCTCATGGATTCATCTCAGCAAGGTGAAACCGGCCCCTCCTTCCAGGCCCAAGTACTCCTGCAGCTTAACACCTTAAATCAGGTTAACATGGATGTCAGAGGAACCTTAAGTCCGTGCCCTCTTGGTGCCATTACTGGTCTTGTGTTCACAACCTGTGGGCAGAACAACAGGCTTTCCCTTGTGCCATATTTTTCCTGGCCCAATTTCAGGCATAGATCTCATCCCTCCACCTACCAGGCACCCTTTCCAGCTTCTTTCTGGAAGGAATCTCCAATTTCTCTTCCTGAATTCTATTCTCTATTTCTTTCCTATGCACTCCAGAATAACAGGCTATCTGGAATTCCAGGTTCACAAAATCTGGGGCACACCAACTCTTCTTAACTCCACCTGCTGGAGGGCACCCCCACATGCCTGTCATTCTCCAATTTGATGCCGGCACAACCACCATGTTGACTGATGTATCTAGTTTATGCTAATTAGATAAGCTGTGTGGAATGTATAAATACTGCTCCTGTCCTGCAATAAACGGCTCCCACTCCTGCTGTATCAACGTACACAAATTGTTCGTCACCCCCCGGTTATTTTGCTGCAGCCGGACTGCGGCAGATGGTGGCCCGTTACGGGGAGCTCCGGGACACTCGGGGGTAAGTGATGAAAAAAAGCTGCCTGTCCATAGATAGGACGGGAGCAATCTGCTCATCCCTAGGCAGATAGGGCGAGAGGAAAAATGGCCTTTTCTGTTAGAATCTGTAAACAAGTCAAAATAACACCTGGCATTTTGCCAGGGGAATGATAGAGTTCGTAAACAAGTCTGGATGGTGCCTGGCAAAATGCCAGAGGGAGTGGTTTGAGAAGTAACAAAAACAAGCCATTAAGTGTGGAGATTCCTTATTGGTTGACTGATGTATCTGTGTGGAATGTATAAATACTGCTCCTGTCCTGCAATAAACGGCTCCTACTCCTGCTGTATCAACGTACACAAGTTATTCGTCACCCCCCGGTTATTTTGCTGCAGCCAGACAGACTGCGGCATTTTCGAGAAAATGGAGAAGATTGATGCAGTATGTTTGTGTCTTGTTTTGTCTCAGTGTATTGTATTGTCTTTGTGATGAAAATATGGAAGGGGTGAGAAGTAAATTGATAAGGGAAGGAGGCACCCCAGTGGAACCAAGAATAGTTAGGGCATGTGTTGATGGAAGCCCAGGAACTCTAGTCAGAAAGAAACAGAAAGTTCAGAAGAAGAAGGATTATCAGGAAAAAAGTTGCAGCAAAAGGCTATTACTAAATACTTTTCGTTACCGGAGGGTGCGTGAAGCGGAAAGGCGGCTGCCGAGTGTGCAAGCCGGTCACAGCGCAGCAAGGACTCCCCAGGGCCATCTGGGGCTGCCCAGGACGCTACAGCCAGCAAAACACGCTACCGGCGTCCCTGATATTTGGTCATTACCAAGGCCAGTAACTACAATGGTTCTCCCACACCTGGAAGCTGATGAGTAATGAGCACTATTAATGCTTATTTCAAATGTAAAAAACCTTGAGATAATGTACTAAATTGTTCAGAAGGTTGTTTTCTTAGTGGAATGCTACAGGATTTTCTTTAGCCATCCGGAGTTCCTGCCTTCGTCCCAGTGCCAGTGAAGACCAAGGTGGAAGAATTTCCAGTGTTGCTGAAAATCAGAGGAGACTTCAGCTGAGAAACGGACAAGACTTCGGATCAAGCTAGCTGCCTGCAGAACTTACCTGGACTGTGATTTACCTGGACTGTGAGTTAATCTATTGAGACACTGCTTTACCTGGACTGAGACAACAAACTGTAATCTACAACAAATTGTAACTCGGTTATCTTTGCTAACGGTGTCATTGCTGGTATAATTTTTCCAAGGGCTTCTTGTATGGAGCCATCAAGTGGCTTGGTATTGTGGCATTTTGTATCCTCCCCTTCTGCTTGTAGCAGATTATTTATGGTGTTTATGTAAAAACCACTATGGTCGTTATTTAAATTAAACAAAAAGGGGAATGTTAGAGTCTGTAAACAAGTCTGGATGGCGCCTGGCTGCTGAGAGCCACGGCCGAGTCTGTATGGCCCCTGGCATTTTGCCAACAGTATTGATTGACAGGCGAGGCATTACTATCCGCCTCTGCCGCAACTTTTGAGTTCTCGCACTATTTTGGAGTTCTCATGGGGATTTCCGGGGATTCCCCGAGAGTTCCCATTGGTTGGGGAAGTGCAGGAGGAGGGATTTCCGGGAGAGATATTTCCGGCTGGGGGTTCCTGGACAAGCCTCCTGGCGCATTCGGGAGGATTCCCCGGGAGCTGTGTGAAGTGTTTTCCTGCAGTTTAAAAATAAAGTTTGTTCCTGCTTCAGTGGCTCGTGATTTGTGCCCAGCCAGACTGCGGCACCTGGCAAAATGCCAGAGGGAGTGGTTTGAGAAGTAACAAAAGCGAGCCATTAAGTGTGGAGATTCTTTATTGGTTGACTGATGTATCTAGTTTATGCTAATTAGGTAAGCTGTGTGGAATGTATAAATACTGCTCCTGTCCTGCAATAAAGGGCTCCCACTCCTGCTGTATCAATCTACACAAGTTATTCGTCGCCCCCCCAGTTATTTTGCTACAGCCCGACTCCGGCACATGGGAACAAGGGAACCACCAGACATTTCAGTGATTAACTGACACTGGGTATGAACTGACGATAATGGCTAAAGAACCAAAATGTTCATGCATCCACCAATAAGAGGAGGGATTTTCTAGGTTTGTGATCAATGCAGTTTTCTGGGGCCCAAGATCCTGTGTATGAAATCCACTATCAATTAGGAATCTTTGATGGCTTTTACCTGATGTATTCATTGTTGCTTTCAAGATATTTCTTTGTTTTCCTTTTTAGCAGCTACAGGTCTATGTATAAACATCGCTGTTTCAATTCCATATAACAAGATCTTCAGGGTTTCTGAATCTGGAGGTCTGACTCAGAAAATTGGGGGAATATTCTGTCATCTCTACTATAAACATCATTTTAGCTTTCTAAGGCACAACTGATGCAGAGTTCATGTCACTGTTTATATTTTCCTGCTTTAAAAACCTACGGACATTTGAGAAATCAAAGAGACTGATGTCCTGCCAGTCATGTCAGAGTGCTCCAGGCCAAGGTTTCCCATCCTCTCTCCTCTCTCCACTCCACATGTAGAAACACTCTTAATCACATGCTCCATTCTTTTCAATTATTTACTAATTATGATTTCAGATGAAATTTTATTTTCTCAACTCAATCCCCACACTTTAGAGTGAAGAAGAATCATACTTATGTAGGGAAAATAAAATCCAGGCAAGCCTTGACAACTTGTTTCCAACTGTCATGGGCCACCTTCTAGGTGTCTGTCTGTTGCAAATGCTCAGTCGTCTAACCCCCTGATTGCATTTTACCTGCCACTCATTCCTAACTGCACTTATGGGATTCGCACTCCTTGCCCTTGAGCCCATAAGTGACCACCTGTTCAGGGGTGGCTCACCTTGTCTTGTTCTCTTACTAGATTTCAGGACCCAGCTGTCACAGGAGAAACGTGGGCTAAGACACTATGACACACTTTATCTTCAAGGACGCCACCATGTTATCAAGCAGATAAACTCCTAATTTTTGAGTATGACATGATGATATTAAAAATTACTTTAAATATGTTAACATTATTAATGGAAAGGCCTTCACCATTTCTTCCTAGAGAATTAAAACATCCAAAAATAAACAGCATCATAAGAAAAACGTAGAGGACATCTTGCAATGAAGGGGAAGGACCTCTATGTCAAATCTGATATCTTTAAGATATAATCAATATGTTGACAGTATAAATAATATTTCAAAATGTTTAATCAGACGCATTCATGCCAGATCTGTGCTTTCTACACAAATATATGTTTTGTCCATTTAAGAAAAAGGAAAAGTAAGTTCATTTCACTATGAATCAGAATATGATGTGTATTTCTAAAAACAGGAAAAGAACATCAAGCAGCGTAAAGACTTTAACTAACACTCTGGAAACAAGTCATGATTTGCGATCAATACCAACTTATCATTGATTGGAGATAAAATGCATTCAAATAGGGATTTACCAATCAGAAAACATGAAAAGAACAACTAAGTTATTTTCATTGTGCCTCCATTGACATTTCTATCAAACAAGACAACTACACTTTCAATCCCTTTAGTCTTGCAGATTTTATACTATAGATGACATCCAATGAAGTATGTTATTCTATTTTATATGTAAATATTATAATTCTGAAGATAGATTCTACTAATTATATATACACCTTACATGTCAATATATATATATATATATATATATATATATCAACAGAGTCTGAGATTTATAAAAGAAGTAAAACAAGCAAATATACAGGGTCCTAGGAGAGATAGAAGATCATCCTTAACCAGATTCAGATGACATCTCTCACAGGACTCCACAGAGAGATAGAAGAAACACACTGCACCACCTGCCTATGGCAGATGTCATAGGACTGTCACCAGATCTGGGGTACGGAAATGAGCCTCTCTGTGATTCAGCTACCCTTACTTGATTTTTCCATTACATACAGCAACACAAAACTAAGAATGGTTTCAAACTTACTTATTGAAAAATCATTGAAACAGACACATGCCGACACTCAGCCAGGTGTCCATCCCTGTGCATCAGCACAAGTGGACTGAGGACTGCGTACCCCAGGTCCACAAATTCTACAGCACTTCCTTCTATGAAATTATTCTCTACAGAGAAAGTTACATATAAAGACAAAAAACAATTTGTCCAATAGAAGAAGAGAAAGCAGAGCATCAGAAGGAGGACACTCTTCACAGCCTTCACCTCAGGGGGGGTTCTGTGAAGGAGCTTGGAGGTCTGAAGGTGGAGCACCTGCTGGTGGTGCTTGTGGAGGAGGAAGACCATGTAGCCACTGGCCCCGCCCATGGCACCCTGGAACACAGCATCTCGAAGGACCATGAGAACAATAAAAATCCATCCAATTGTCCAGTTTTGTGATTGAAAATAACAGAAATTATCACTTCTAGTAACTTCTGATGTGTTCATACTTCTGATGTGTTTGATATAAAACGGTAAGTTCATGCTTATCACGGAATTGAGAATCCAACAGAAGAGCAACAAGGGAAGCAGGTGCCATGCAGACCTGGGCTGCAGCCTCCCCCACCTGGAGGCTCTGGGGCTGATGGTGATGGCCTGGACCACCGTGAGGAGACTGGTGGTGCAGATGGACAGGCCCCGGGCCACCCTGCTGAGGTAAACCACCACCTTACAGGCCATATCATCTATGAGGCTTCTCAACCCCAAACTGGATACTGTCCTTGGCATGCCTCTAGTAAGAAGTGTCATCATGTTTGTAAAAGCCAAGTGGATGAGAACGAGGTGGATAGATTTCATGGTGCTTCTAAACAAGCCCATATAGTTCACAAGAACAAGGACGTTCCCCACAATGCCAAGTCCTATTAGAAACACAAAGATACTCCCCTTGACAACATTCAACACCATTTCTCAATTACAGGCAGATATGCTTGGACGTAGGAACACCTTTTGAAGAAAGAAACATTAATGATAATACATATCTGCAAAGAAATTTTTCACAGCTGAAATTCCCAGAGTGTAAAAACAATCAGTTTAAATGTAATGGTGCAGATTTCGTTCAAAATAATATTTCATTTTCTGTAATAGTTTGAGGAACATTCTACATCATTTAAAACACCATCTTGAGGACTATTATTCAAAACAATAAATTGTTAACCCTGAATTTTTTATAAGCTCCACATCATCAACACCAAACTGCTTGTTTAAATCCTTGTTTTCTCGTCTATGTTCAACCTCAGCATGGATACATTAAACCTGTACTCCCCCAATCAGAGTTCTCCCTGTTCTTTATAAATTTCATTCGATATATTCTTATATTGCAATGCAAAAGTTCAAGATCATGCTTGGTCTTTCATCCCCCCAATAGCCCATGCACAAGAATTCTTAAAGTCCAGTTGCTTCAACGTCTTTAACAAATGTAAATATGGCCACATTTCAATTTCGCACGGTCTGCTGCTTTGTTCAACGTCCCCTTCTGTCTCTTAGTTGGATCAGCACCACAACTCTAGGTTTGCTTTTGCATCGCGGTTTTCCATCTTTGATGAGGAGAGCTTCCCCCTGTGTTCTCCTACACACAATAGGACTCTGTGGTTTCCCTGTTACTAATTCTCAGAGAGTCTCTGTAGGTCTCTGTTGGAACCAAACTCCAAAACCTTTACAGAAGGAATCAACAGGTAAAGTCGAACCTGTCAAAGACATGAAGGAATGAAATCAGATTATGGACGGCATGCAGCTAGCAAGGGTGCTCACATGAGCCGTGGAATACTGCCCTGCCAGGCTCTGCAGCCAAGGGCTGAGTTCCTCTGATGACCTCAAGGACCTCTAAGAAAAGCCTGGGTCTGTTCTGCATGTGATGGTGTTCATCAAAGGGTCAGCTGTGGGACCACGTGCTGCACGCTGCCAGGAGATGAGTCAGTGTGTGAATTAGGAATCCCCAGGAAAGCCTCCTGGTGGAGAAGTGGGTTGGGAGACACTGGCACACATCACTAAAGCAGTGTCCTGGGGGCATTTTCCAGCCCTCCCAGAACCTCGCTGGGAACAAGACTTCAGTCAGTTCTGCAGCCTGCTCTAGCTGGGCTTGGTTTCGGTTTGGTTTTTGTTTTGCTTTGTTTTGTTTCTGTTTATTGGGTTTTTTCCCCACCTAGTCAACAATTGGGCTGCTGGATGTCCGTGCAATCCTGGACAGGATGTTACATTTTCCTGTTAGATTTCCAATCTCAAGTCTCACGTAAGAACTTATGGTAAATATGGTCAATATCTCCAGAAAAAAAGAACCCAGGAAACTAAAAACCACCTAGGGTCTGCATGTGCTGTGTGTGCATGGAAGGCGGTTCTAGATGCTTCCCCAGCTCCTGCTGTTCATTAAAAGATTGCTTTAGATTCCTCTGCTGAGCCTCCCTGGCAGCTTGAAGGGCAGGAATACTGGTTGTGCCCAGTTTTAACACCACAGAGCCCTTGAATTCAGAGAGATTCAAGATTCCCTTTCCAACTCTGTTTCCTCCACTAACAAATGGGGAGAATAAAGCCTGCACCCATGCCTTAACGTAAACAGCACAGAATCCTGAATATGTGCTGTGCAACGCCTTATGACACAAGCTTTAATGATCCAGGAAAAGCAGCTTCAACTAGTAGGTCAAGGATGGAAATAACTGCGCTCAGTGTACATCATGGCCCAGAGGACATATCAAATATTTTCATATTGCTTGTGCATTTCTAATTTTTCTCATATTTTCAGCCCACTCCCATCTTTCCAAACCACACAGCCCTGCATCAAACTTGGGAGGCACTTCTGAGACATACAACTCCCTTCTCTTTCACTGTGACAAAATGAAATGAAAAATGTTAGAGAAGAGCTTTGCATTATTCCAGATTGACTGCACAGGTACAGAATAAATGGTTCTAAAAGGTAGGTCGTGCATTCAGAGAAATATATCATCCCCACCTGGCAGTAACACCTAGTGACCTAGGTGGGTACTTGCATCCACCCTAGGAGTAACTTCCCAAGATAAATAAGTGATTGGTGGTCCTCAGTGCATGATACGAACTAAACTTGAAGAAATAGTTCTGGAATTTTAATATCAAACAAACTAATGAAAACACACTGAAATTCAATAAGAGACACTGTGATTTTAAGTACTAATTGTGTTTAGTAGGCACTCTAACAGACATCTAAAGCATAAATATGACTCACATGTATGATCTAATGTTATGTTTGAGGACAGTTTTAGGTTGGATGCCCCAAAATGCCTTCACATTAAACACAATGCACTTACAGACACAGAAACATGATACAAGAGAAACAACTGCATCTTGGAAACTGAATAATACACCGTAATCTAGTTGCAGTAATCCCATGTAAGTTAAGAATGTTTTCAGAATCATCAGGTCGACATCAAGGCTAAAGACACAGCTTTTCTAAAGGCAGACAGAGAGTCTAACTTCTGTCTTCAGGACCCACCACGGGGCTCTCTGATGGATCCAGATCCCCAACACAGGGTCCAAGCTGCTCCCGTGTAGCTGAGGGACATCTGATATAAAGGCCCTTCATGTTTCGGCCCAGGTGCGAACCTTCAGATACCAGATGAAGAGGGACGGTCCTAAGGATCACACGCTCTCAGCAACCCCCTGCTCAGTCTCAGAGAGTAAGATCTGTGCCGCTGAGGAGACGTCACAGGTGCCTGGGAGCAAGTCAGACCCTGGGCCCACTCACCTTGGTGGCTGTGCAGCTGACAACTCTGTGTTGGCCCTTCTGACAGGGTGCAGCTTCCCAGGCTGTACTTGTACCTCCGGGATCTGTGGGGCTCTTGCCTACCGTAAGCCACCACCAGGACCCCAGCTGTCACAGTCGACAGCTCTCAGGGAGACGCAAACCCTCTGCAGAACCTCAGTCCCTGAAGGACGGCTTTCCCTCTCCCTCCACAATTACTCTCTATGTTGGGCTCAGAAGTTGTCTCAGTCTTAATTGGGGCTTAATTATCTTAATGAAAGTTGTTACAGTTTGAAAGTGAACAACCAGCCAAGTTTCCACATCTGAGGTCCCATTTATTTCCTTCCCTTCCCCTTCCCCAAAGTGCACAGGTGCATCCAAATGGGGCCAGCGTCTCAGACCCAGAGGATCAAGGTTCCTCATTTTCAAGACCTTCTCCATGCACAGGGATGTGGTACCTGATGACAAGTTTTAGGGACTCTGAAAACACAAGGTGAACCCAGTGGTTAGATACACCCACCGTCTCCCTCTCCAAAAACCAAACCTGCCATCACAGAAATGCAAATCAAAATCACAGGGAGATTTCACCCCAAACCAGTTAAAATGGCATTTTTCAAGAATACAAATCATAGTAGATTCTTTCAAATATGTGACAAAAACAGGCAAATTCATATGTTTTTTGTAGAAGTAAAAATTAGCATGACCATGCTGGTAAGCAGTATGAAGATTGTTTAAATATATAAAAATGAACCACCATATGATCCAGCTACAATACTCATTGGTATTTATGCAAAAAAAAACTAAAATTTAAATAGTATAGTGATAAGAATGCATCAATATTCACAGCAGCACGATGCACAAGACCATGTTAAGGAAACATCTGGTGATCACCAGCAGATGAATGCATCAAGACCATGAGGTGCGCAGACACAGTGGAGTGCTACTCAGCCATGAAGAGGAGTGAAACCGGGCACTGTCTGGGAGATGGACAGAACTACAGAACGCCAGGCTGCGTGACGTAAGCCACACTCGGAAAGGCAGGGGGTGAACACTGCACTTTATATGTGGAAACTGGAGCAAAATCAGGGGGATGGGCTGGGGAGACCCATGAAATTAGAAAACATGTCTGTGGAGCAGAGGAAAGGACTGGGGGACGAGGGGTGGGTGGGGAAGGGCAGGCGCCGCGGGATGAGCTGCGTGACCATGCCGTGTGCCCTGGGGATGTGCAGTGAGTTTCATGTTGTGAGTCTCTAGGGCACCAGGTGGTAGGACATGAATAAGAAGGAGGCAGTGAGCAGAGGACAGAGAGGGGAAGAGGGGGGTGGGAGGAGGGAGCAGGAGGCCACGGGGGAAAGGCACCAGGCAGGTGGCTGGGTAGGGTCCCTGTGAGGGTGACCATGACGCCCTAAAAAAATGCTTTCAAACTCCACGTCTGCGCTGTTCCTGGGGGGCATTTGTGTGATCCGTCTACACCAGGAAGCTCCCCATGTCACTGAGGCTCCTACTGCCTGGGGACTTTTCAGTCCCTGTAGCAAGGAATAAAAATAAAGGTGGCCAAGGGCTGAGGGGAGGTGACAGCAGCTTCCTTTCTTCAGAGACAGAGCAGCCCGGGGCTGGCCGGGGCGGCAGGCTCCTGGCCACTGGGCCTCCTCTGTGCCCTGAGGGACTCATGACCTGGGGATGCGCCCTGCACACATTAGGGATAGAACCCTGGGCCACACATGGAAGCCACCTGAGTTACGGTCCCTGGTGTGGAAGGGAGACCCAGGCCTGCATGGTGGAGTGGCCACTCAGGGCACTTGTGAGCCTAGACACAGAGGGAAACAGCCATGAGCAGTGTTCCCTGGTACACAAGGAGCACCGAACTCTGCGACATTTGATAGGGGATTTTGTGTGTGAACTTGCAATTTAGCCTGATTTTAAGATGTATGTAAATTATTGTAAAAGCCATGACGTGAGCTCAGTATTTTGGCATCCAGGCCTGTTTCTACTAAGGCGGGTGTCAGAGGGACATTCACAGCACTGTGACCAACCTCAAAAAAGAAATGCAGAAGAATACCAAATAAATTAACATAACATCTCACACCACAACCAGTAGAAAACAGAAAATAGTTAATATCAGAGCCAAAAAATAGTGAAATTGGGAATAAAAGCAATGCAACAGGGCCTGGGGCTGGGCTCTGAGTGGAGCACTTGCCTG